GGAAACAAATTTGGAGTCTTTTCTATTTCATTAACTTTTTTTTTTTTTTTAAGGTTTCTTTCTTTCATGAAAGAGAGAGAGAGACAGACAAATAAGCATCCTCAATAGGGTCTCACGCCAGGATTTTCTCCAACCTGGTCTTTCCAGCCAGCAGGATCACGGGTACACTCACGTACACTGGTGTGACTGGAATGATTTTTACATGCCAAATTAATTCCAAACTTTTCACTTGCAGTTCTCGTTACATTCTAATAAATACTATCTGCTAAGCTGCTGTGTAAGGTCAACCTGAGAACTGAACCTGGATCTTCCACGTGGCTTTTCGCATTGCAGGGTGTGATGCTGCTACTGCTACACCACCAAAACTGGGCCTAGTTCATTAAAAAAAGAAAAAGTCTCCCTGTTCTAAACTGTGTGATTGCATTAGCTAATATTCTCTGATGAATGATATATCTGCACTGTTTTCTCCTGCCAGAGGACACGTGTGTTTGCCAGAGAGAAAGACAGACAGTGTGCACAAGTGAGAACCCCGCCCCCCCCATGAGTGATGGTCATCCTGCAATCCCTTCCCCTCCATTTCTCTCTTCTTTTGGGACTCTGGGCACACAAGGATATGCACACAGTATGTATAGTTTCCAAGGCCTTCTTGAGAGTCAACCCATCATTTTATTTATGTGGAAGAAGGAATCTTCTTCCTCCTGGACCTCAGGAGAAAGATTTGTTTATCTTGTAGAAATTCTACCCTGAGGAATCTGAGGACCTGTTCATTATGGTAAAACAGGATGGAACTCATGGTCAAGAGTTGAATCCTTTGGGACAGTTTTTTCCTGGCTGCCAGGTCCAGAACTTGAACAGTACAGTCAGCTACGTGGGATTCAGCTGCCATAACCACCACGCCAGAGACTGGTCCTACAACTGCACTTTAAAGAAACATAAATATGGGGGACAAGCAGTTGGTGTAATGGCTATGTCATTGGACTCCCATGTAGTCAACCGTGGTTTGAGTCCCTGACCCAGTGTTTTAAATTTACGCCGGGCGCATGTGCATGTGTGCCCAAGATCCTGAGAGGAGACTGGAGGAGAAGGGATTGCAGCATGGCCATTCTCCCTGGGGGATAATTTCTCGCTTTCTGTCTCTCTGTTTCTCTCTGTTTTTCTGGCACACACGCAAGCGCATGCAACCTATGGCAAAAATAAAAAAACCTCTCCAAAAAAAAAGAAAGCTATTATAACAGATTGGGTGGGCTAATGAGCACATAATGCTTACCCATGTGAGATGAGATGTGGAGGTTTAGACGTTTAGACAGTGATATTGATGATCCTGACACTCTGTAGCTATAGGCTAATGTGTATTTGTGTCTTAGATTTTAACAAGAGAGTTTAAAAAGTTAAAAAAGATTAAATTTAAAAATAAAATGCTTACAGAATAAGGATATAAAAATATGTCTGTATGGCTGTACAACGATTTTGTTTTAAGCTAAGTGTTATTACAAGAGTCAAAATATTAGTTTATAAAGAAAAAAAGTTACACTAAACTAAGGTTTACTTATTACATTATTGACAAAAATTTTTTTCTAGAGGGCACATACACTTGCCAAGGAAGAGAGAGACAGAGAGAGAAAGTGAGAAAGCAAACCTCCCCCCTCCCTCCAATAGGGGATGGTAATGCTGCAATCCCCTTCTCCAGTTCTTCCTCCTTCCAGAACTTGGGCCATGCATGCACATGTGCCTGGTGTGTTTCGCAAGCCATTGGTCCAGGACTCAACCACACAGCTGGCCATGTGGGTTCTAGCACACGGTCTTAACAATCAAGCCTCAGGCTGACCTAGGTTAACTTGTTATTGAAGAAACATTTAAAAAATAAATTTAGTATAGCCCAAGTGTATACAGCCTTTATAGTCTATAAGTGTGTGGTTATGTCCTAGACCTTCACATTCACTCTCACTCACTAGTAGTTCACTTAGAACAACTTCTACAATAGTTCTGCAAGCTTTATTCACAGTAAGTTCTCTATACAAGTGTAGCCTTTTAATCTTTTATCCCATATTTTAACTGTACCTTTGCTATGTTTAGGTATGTTTAGTTACAAAAATGCTTACACTGTGTTATAACTACTACAGTATTCAGTTCAAAATGCTACATTGGTTTGTAGCCCAGGGACAATAGGCTATCGGTGACATCCTGGGTGTGTAGTAGACTACCCTGTCTAGGTTTGCATAAATACACCCTACAGTGTTCACACAAAGCATTTCCCAGAATATATACCCATTGTTAGGCAATGCATGACTGTCTAAAGTACTAAAGATCATAGGAGGGAAAAACCCTTAAAGTTGTTTCCTCTAAAAATCAAGGTAGAACTAAGTGATCATTCTCTCTCTCTTTTTTTTTTTTTTTTTGGAGAGGTTTTTGCTATAGGGCTATAGGGCGCATGCACCAGCCAGAAAGACAGAGAGACAGAGAGATAGAAAGCGAGAAATCACGCCCCAGGGGGGATGGCCATACCGCAATCCCTTCCTCTCCATTCTCCTCTCGGGATCTTGGGCACGCACACACATGCACCTGGTGTGAGTTTAAGCCACTGGGTCCAGGACTTGAACCGCGATCAGCTACATGGGAGTTCAGTGATATAGCCATTACGCTAACTGCTAGTCCCTAGATGATCATTCTTATAGAAGGAAATAAAAAATGACAATAAAACACTTCCTTTGGTCCGTCTTTGGAAGATTTAGAGAAAGAAAAATTCCTGAAGATACAGGCAAGGCTACTAGGATAGATTCAGTCACATTTCTTTTCTTCAGAGGAATATATGTGTCCAGTGAAATGTCTTAGTTTACAATAGTACTCCCTTGAAATAAATCACTTCCCTTGGTTCTGAACAATTTCAGTTTCTTGTACCGCCCAACAGTTATTATTCATCATAGTCAACTCAAGAAATAAACATATTTTAAAATGTCAACATACCGGTTTTTTGGAGACTCTGACTTCAACCTCAGGGGCCAGAGAAAATAAAGCCTTTAGGAGGGAGGATTTGCCAACATTGCTACTGCCTATAAAACATACCTTACACAGGAAAAAAAAAAAGGGACTTATTAAATATATATGTATTTATTATATGTTTTATTCATTGCAAAACTCCATGAAACTGTTCAGTATAGCCAAGTCATCTAAAGAGGTGGTTTATGCTTTTTCTTTTTGAGAAGTTTTTGCTATAAGGTGCGTGCACTCGCCAGAAAGACAAAGACAGAGAGACAGAAAGTGAGAAATCACCCCCCCAGGGGGGATAGCCATGCTGCAATCCCTTCTCCTCCATTCTCCTCTCAGGATCTTGGGCATGCACGCACACATGCCCAGCGGTGAGTTTAAACCACTGGGTCCGGGACTCGAACTGCAGTCAACTACATGGGAGTCCAGCAACATAGCCATTATACCAACTGCTGGTCCCGGTTTATGGTTTTGTTTTGTTTTGTTTGTTTGTTTTAAATTATTTATTTATTTATCCACTCATTTATTTTTTAATTTTACCATTGAGAGACACAGAGAGAGAGGGAGAGAGAGAGGGAAAGGGAAAGTGAGAAAGCAAGCCACCAGGTCTGGGACTCGAACCGTGGTTGGCCATGTGGGAGTGTCCAGCACCTTAATCACCATGCCACCTGCTGGCCCTGGTTTATGTTTTTTTTTAAGTCAAACCTCAAATTCTAACATCATGATTTCAAAGTGCCAGGTACTATACTAAGCATCCAATATATATATATATATATATTTTTTTCTTTTAATGATTTTTTTTTTTTTTGGAGAGGTTTTTCACTATAGGGCGCGTGCGCTTGCCAGACAGAGACAGAGACAGAAAGCAAGAAATCACCCCCCAGAGGGGATGGCCACACCCCAATCCCTTCTCCATTCTCCTCTCGGGATCTTGGGCACGCACGCACACACGCCCGGCGTGGGTTTTAAGCCACCGGGTCCGGGACGTGAACCACGGTCGACTACATGGGAGTCCAGCGACATAGCCATTACGCTAACTCCTGGTTCCCAACATATATTTCTTCTTCTTCTTCTTCTTTTTTTTTTTTATTACAATAGCCTTTGTTAGTATTACTATCCCCATTTTACAGTAGTGAAAACATCCTGACCCAAAGCTATATAGCTAGAAAAGTGAAAGAGTAAGGATTTGAATTGAGAATATTTATATCCAAAACCTATGCTTGTAAATTATACTATGCTACTCAAGAATATCTTCAGCTCCTAATAAACATTCCATACTTACAAACCTATTTGAAATAAAAATGAGGTGTATTTCAACAAAACTGGCTTAAAAACACAACTATAGGTTCAGAAGCACATTTTCTCAGGAGCTCCCATAGTACAATGTAACACTGCAATTTAAGAAGTTATTCTTTTCCCTTGACTCTCTCTCCAATCAAGCTTGTCTGGTTTGTAGTGTAGAAAGGAATACAATATTCTTGATAATAACCATTAATACACATGGCTCTGCTTTTTAGCCTGTCATTGAAAGGGGACAACACTATTTGTTCTAAAGGGCAGTACCAACCCTTGAAAGGCATTTTGGAAATTTCTCAGGGCATTTATCAAAACAATTAGAGGGCATTTAGTGGGCAGGGGTTGGAGATGTTATGTATTCTGCAAAAGGCAGGTCAGTCCTTCAGAATGAATTAATCTGAGTGCTACATAAATTTCAAATGCTCTGCTAGATTAAATCCATTCATGTTAATGGTAGCATGTGTACAAATGAATTTTAATAAACAACACAAAAATCCAGTAGTTCAGAAGCTTAATTTGAAAAGTGGTGTTGTCTCAATTTTTTTTTTTGAAGAGGTTTTGCTATAGGGCGCGTGCGCTCGCCAGAGAGACAGAGATTCAGAAAGCGAGAAATCACCCCCCAGGGGGGATGGCCACGCCGCAATCCCTTCTCCTCCATTCTGCTCTCGGGATTTTAGGCACGCATGCACACGTGCCTGGCGTGAGTTTTAAGCCACCAGATACGGGACAGTCGACTACATGGGAGTCCAGCAACATAGCCATTATGCTAACTGCTGGTCCCTTGTCTCAAAATTATAAATAATTCATGTACTCCCGGAGTCCTAAATACTTAAACTATTACAACAGTACTATATACACTTTAGAAGAAAATTTCAGGGGCATGTACAGATAACTAAATGGAGATTTGAGCTGCTTTTTAGTAGATGCAGAACAAAGTATTATTAAACCGTAGGAGGTTCATAAAATGCACATGCCTGGAATTTCACAAATAAAAATCTTCAACATTATCGCCATCCATAGATAATAATTCCCTTTGCACATGAAATTTAGATTGGGTGACACTACCTATTAATAGGGAATCATCTAATTTGTGAAGTTATTATACGTTTCCTGGTCTTCAAGTATAATAGATAGGAAAATGGTGATAAAAGGACTATATTAATTCGTGAACGGTTAATTTGGGTTTAAAGCCTTTAAAGTCCTCTACGTTCATTACCATAATTACAACTCTTACTCTGTTTATCGAGCTAATAATATAGGCGTCCACACTAAGCTAGAAAACATCTCTTGTCGGGTAACAAGAAATAAGTGACAGCGACACCCTCCCAGGTCTTTACGACTGACAGGATGTTCACCAACACCTGCCCGCTGGTGAGCCCGGAGCAGGTGCGTTCTCACCTCCGGCCGGGGGAGGTCCGGGGCGTGGTCTAGGCGGACTGCGGAGCTGAGGTATTCGATGCGGTTGCTGACGGTGGCCGTGAAGATGCTCTCCGCCCTCGCGATGTCCTCCAGGCTCGGGTCGAAGACCCTCAGCTGAAGATCTGGCCTCGTGTCTGGTGCTAGGTACCGCTCGAGTTCCTGCAGCGGGTATATTAGCTTCGTCATTTGCCTCTTCGGCATCCGTAGCACCTCAGCAAAGGCCTGGGATGTGGTGTAATTTCGGCTCAGGCGCCCCCGCATCACCGGCATCTCAGAAAACCTTCCCGTTCTAAGCCGCAGCACGAGCGCTGCCATTTTTCTCTCCCAGAATCCCTGCTGCGGGGCCGCAGTCCCAAGGTCTGGTTTGCGCGTGCGTGAGCCCCGTTGCCGCGATGCCTGCTGGGAATTGTAGTCTCCGCTGACTCGACGCTTTTAGCATTCAGTGCAGGGAAGCAGGCGGAGGCGGAGGGCGGAGCCAAGCAGGTGTAAATTCGCTGGGTTCCTTTAAGGCCCCAAGTTTAATGGCTGTGCCTTTGACTAGTACTGTCCTTGGGGGATGGTTAACAGTTTCCAGAAGTGAAGTACCTAATTGTCTGTGTGGCCCTTGAGTTTCAAGGGAAACAGTAGAACGTGTGAAGTTCTGGTGGATTCCAGGCTCATTTTCTCTCTATGGTTTCTGGCTGTCTCACAGGTCCTTGACTTTTGTCAGACTTCCACATCATTAGGAGAAACACTTGCGAAGAAGAAAAGGGCTGGTGAGAACTGTGACTGAAATCATACCTCATTTTCAGAAGAGGAACTTCGCTTTTCAGCCTTCTCTGTAGTTGCGGGAAATGTCATTAGGCTTTAAGTGGATTCTTGAAAAATAAAATTTTTGCACAGGTGTTATAGAATTAGTTCATAGGAGTTCTGTAACGACATCTTATTTCAAAAGCAGCTCAAGCTGATCAATGCCAGATGAGAGATAAAGGTATCTGTAATGAAGTTAATAACTGAAAGATTTCCTGTGTAAAAAAAATCCCAATAGGTCGTCGTCGTCGTCTTCTTCTTCTTCTCCCTTCTCCCTTCTTCTTCTCCCTTCTCCCTTCTTCTTCTTTTCTTTTTTTGTTGCGGGGGGAGGTAGAGATCCATGTTAAATTATATTCCCGCATGGTAGCATCACATCATACTTAAAGTGTGACACTTGGAATTAAGAGATTATGGAAGGATTATTAGATTTTTAAACAACAAAGTCTAGGCTGCTCAGTTGAAGTAGGGCAGATTACTGAGATGTCAGATGACAAAATTATGTTTATCATGACACAAATTGCATCTTCTTGCTTGTAATAAGGCTTTGCCACTTTGTTCTACTTTTCTGTTTCTCTTTACAAGAGACTAGGACACATCTGTACCAAATAAAAATTTATGCCATGGTAAAATTAGCCTCAGGATTTTCTCCAATTTCTACATCCATGATGAATAGCCACTTTCCCTGGTACTGTATTTCTCTTGCCTGAAATATCCTTGCTATTTCTTCAAAAACCAGATTCAAGCCACTTGTTTCTGCAAGGAAAAACAACTAGACAAAAAAATTCCTGATCAGGAATTCTGCATTGTTCTTAGGACACTAGTTTATTTCTCAGTTGTTTACTTGTCAAGTAGTTGGAAAAGGATAATCAGTTTAAGAAAAAGTTTCAAATCAATTGTTGCCATTTGTTATTATCTTTAAAATATCATATAATGGCCTTAGAAATCATCTGGCTTGTTACTGTAGGTGGAAAACTCTTAGATCTTACTCCTTAGCCTGTACCTTTATAAGAGACATAGATACCATCCCGAGATTTTTTTATATCCTATTTTTAACTCTTGTGGTTTGCTGTATCAAAGCAGCTGAATTTTTTTTTTTTTTTGGAGAGGTTTTTGCCATAGGGCACGTTCACTCACCAGAAATACAGAGAAAGACAGAGAGAGACAGAAAGCGAGAAATCACTCCCCAGAGGGGACGGCCACACCACAATCCCTTCTCCTCCATTCTCCTCTCGGGATCTTGGGCATGCACACAAATGCGACTGGTGTGAGTTTAAGCCACCAGGTCTGGCACTGGAACTGTGGTCGACTACGTGGAAGTCCAGTGACGTAGCCATTACACCAACTGCTGGTCCCAAAGCAGCTGAATTTGAAACAAGTTCAATATCATTGCCTTTATCTTTCTGGGCTTGAGATACTGAACGAGCGATACCTGGTTGCATTCGAACCCTCCAGATGTATTTTTCATGCAAGAAATCTTGGATTTCAACAAGAGACCTATTCTTTTGAATAATGACGTTGATAGGGAAATGAGCTTACACAGACCTAGTCTTGTAGCGGAAGCCCGCTGTAACACCTTTGTGTACGTGACTACAGACAGTGGGAACCGTAACCAGTTCCTGTTTCTGCATCATTTGTCAACCCATGGCCTCTTCTTTTTCTTTCCAAGGAGACTGAGCTCCACATTGATGTGATTCAAGTCCCTCCGCAGGGCTCCTCTGGGGCCCTTCCCAAAACTGTGAGTCCCTTCAGAGTGATGTCGACATTCTCTGGAATGTTGACTTGTCCGATTGCTGAGAATAGTCTTCATTCTCACAGTAGATATGGCAAGGAGAACAAAATGTCTTCTAATAGCAGCAGAGAGCAGAGAAAGTGTAATTTGTGGCTTCTTAAACTATTCCTCAGGTTGTTCGGTAACTAAAAAGCATAATTTTTTAATAAATATGACACAAGAATGAATGAACCCAGACCAATACTTTGCGTGTAGCCCAGGCTGGCCTGCTGGCTGGCTAGTTCTTGATGTATCTTTTCATTAAGCTTTGAGGCTCTCTCCTTCATTCCTGAGTCTCATGCCTCATCAATGAAACACTTTCCTTTACACATCCAAATCCGGAATATATGTATTACTATGTATGTAATGTAGTTTGAAAGTGCTTTTATCCGTGTCTTTTCACTTCCAAACCTTGGGACCCCAGTTTGAAAAGAAACCAGAGCATAAAGAATAGCTGGGGGTCTGAGTTTTTGGAGGTGTTCAAGCATTGATAGAAATCATGGGACCCATTTTGTAATACTTTATGACTGAGTCCTGAGTCATTTCGGATTTCATTTGGCAGGCAAAGCATTTTGGCGTCATTTGACAGGATAGTTTTTACAACACAAGTTATGCTGTCATCCAGATGTTAAGTGTTAAACAGATAATCCAGTGGTTTTAAATATGACTAGGGAAGCCACTTGACTATTTAGTCATCTTATTCCCTCCTTCAATCCATTTTCAAAAAGCATGTATGCAAATAAGGCATGCATGACTTCAGAAAGATGGTTTAGAATTGATAGTACACTGTGTTTTCCCTGGACACATGCTCGAATTCTTCCCCTAATTTCCCGGGCAGGTGGGAGGTCAGAGATGAAACATGAATATCTGTGGGACATACTAGTGAGGGGGAGAACATCTAGAATTGTGAGGAATCAGCTTAGAAGAACTAACCCCACTGTAGAGCTGCAAGGGAGAGCATAGAGTCAACAGAGAATTATCACAATCCAGGAAAATCAAGCCAAAGTCAGTACTGAAGGGAATTAAGTCTGGTAGGTGGGATGTTGCAATTGGGCTCCATGTGTTCTGGTCACACCGTAAGTCTGGTTGTTGGCAACGTCTTGGACCCAGGTGCCCTGTCTGTATAAACCAGTAACTACAGATTTGGAGTCAGGAGTTAGCCTCCTAGATCAGGGATAGGCCATGGCTAATATTCAGAATAAGCTGTTATTCCTAGTGGGAAAAGGACAAGTCTAGATTAGAAAACCATGCCATCTAATACACTTCTCCAACTTACTATGTCCAAAATGGAATTTCTGATACTTTCTTGTTTTCTCCTAACCTGATCCTCTCTGCAGCCATTTCTATCTTGATAAATGGCAACTCTTGTTCTTTGTACTGATCCAGCCCAAACTCTTGGAAGCAGTTCTTGGTTCTTTTATCTTATATCTAACATCCAATCTGTTAGCACTCCCCTTGACTTTACGTCCAAAACATACCCTGAATTTGACACTCTTTTTTTTTTTTTTTTTAAACCACATCTACTGATAACACCACAACCCAGGTCACTGTGATATCTCATCTAGATTATTGTAATAGTTTCCAAACTGGTCACCCACGTTTGCACTTTCCTCCCTTTAGTATATTCTGAGCAGAGCAGCAGCCATGCTCCTATTAAACTCCAAGTGAAAACCTCCAACAGCTTCCTGTCTCGCTCAAAGAAAAGTCAGAGTCCTTGCACTAACCTAGACAGCCCTCACGCTCTTC